GTGTGGCTAGGCGGCTCTGCGCACTGCCCCTGCCCCGGCCCGATCCGGCACCCTGAAACCCCTCCTGTGCCCCAACCCCCTGCCCCAAGCCCCCTCCTGCACCCAAACTCCTTCCCAGAGCCCACGCGTGCCCCAGCCCCACACCCCATCCCGCACTCCGAACCCCTCGTGGCCGCTTCTCCGCCTAGGAGCAGCAGGGTCATGTTGCTGCTTCCGGGGAGCCACACAGAGCCAGGTAGGGAGCCTGCCAGTCCCACGCCAACTGGACTATAAACCGGACTTTCTAAGAAGATTAGAAATGCCAGTTTATAGAGCTTTCCGGTTGGTACAGGGCTGGATAACACAGCTTTTACTGTATATATACATTGTCGTTGACATGACTACCATAAAACCCTATCAGAAGGGTAGCTGTGTTAGTCTGGATCTGTAAAAGTGGCAAAGAGTCCTGTGGCACCTTATAGACTAACAGACGTATTGGAGGATAATGAAGTGGGTATTCACCCACAAAAGCTTAAGCTCCAATATGTCTGTTAGTCTATAAGGTGCCACAGGACTCTTTGCCAATAAAACACTATGTAACCTAACTAATAGTTGTGGGTGGAATACCGCAGACTTTAAAATTGCAAGGGATTATTCTGCCCTGGAAAAGCAACTCACTAACTAAAGAATTTGTAAATTCCGGTGCCCACCTAGTTTTCTCACTCTCTTGGCGATGGTGGTGCGGCTGGGCCCTGAACAACAGCACCAGTCAGAGGTAAGGAATCAGCTAGATCTGGTATCAACGTTTCCTCCCGCAGATCGTTGAAATTAGGAGGTGTAACGGGAGGAGGAACAGAAAGTCCGACTGGAATATCCACTGGACTCGTGACAAAGTCTGGTGATGGGTTGATGCAGGAATCAGTGAGATGGCAGCTCTAGTATCAAACTCCTTTCTTGTAGGAACTGCTTCAGTCAACGGTGGGATCTGGACACCATGTCTGAGTCCAGTTCTGATAACACATGCAGCGCCAGGTCTGGGTCAGTGTCTTTCTCCATATTATGCATTCCCGACTTCCATCCTTTTTTAGGGTCAATCTTCAGAGGTGTCTTCTTGGCTGGATGTTGGACTGTGTGACAGGGCAGGGCAACGTGTCCTTTCTTCTGGAACTTTCTGCAAAAACCCCTGGTGTGCCCAGCAGTCCTTAGCGTGCATCGTTTGTGCACAACAGTCACGGGGACATTCCTTACGTTCCCAAGGGCCTCGCCGATTCAGCAGGTGAATGTCTCGGCTCACCCTAGATTCCAGAGAATCCTTCTCCGCCATTTCCATGGTAATTGCTTTGTCATCAGCCTTCTTGAATGCAAGAGCTGATCCCATCAGTAGCTTTTCCCGGCTCTGGTCAGTGCATAATCCAGGGACAAATTAGTTGCACGGCACATCCCTTGACGGTTGCCTGAATGGACAATGCTCCGGCAACTTCCTTAGCGCAGCAAGGAACGGTGCGACCGACTCGCCTCTCCCTTGCTGCGGTGATGGAGCCGGTAGCATTCTGCTGCCATTGATGGGGCAGGGGGACAATGCTCCCGCGGTGCTGGAGGGAGTGCGGCGTCCGTGGCGGTTCTGGGCACGGCTGGAGGCAACAGGCCACACAGCCGCAGTCTGTGGGCTGTCTCGCCCAGCATGGCCGGCAAGGTTGAACTCCGTCTGGAATGGAATCGCCAGCGGCAAATGGTTCAAAACGGCTGAGGGACGCCACCCATGACACGATTTCCATCTCACTCACCACCATGGCCCACAGACATTGCCATTTCTCTGCTCTCCTTTTCGATATCACCCCCCCCCCACCGCCCCCAGTCCTCTTTCCATCACTGGCGTGTCCGAGCGTGGTGTTGGACAGCAGTCCCCCACGTGGCGCACTCATGTTTACTGGAACTCCCGCCGTAGCGAAGTGGAATTGAACCCCTCGACTGCTTCCCTGGGTTCAAATGGGGCTTTTGTTCCACGAGCCGTGAGTTCACCCTGTTGGCTCCCCTGCCCAGGCATGTTACCCTCTACCTGGTAGACATTGTGGCCCAGATCCTCGAAAGCTATCGAGGTGCCTAACTCCAATTGACTGCAAATATCTAGTCGGATCTGGGCCTTCATGCTTACACCAAGGAGACAATCACCCGGCTGTGAGCAGACAGGGGGATAGTAAATCTGCTGCCTCCCCACTGGAAATGGGTAAGAGAGACTCCTCCCGTGTCTTAGGAACAGGCTTGAGTCCAGCCCCCTGCCATCCCAGCCAGCTGTCCTATAAACCCACTCCCAAAGTTGTCTTGCTATGGCTGCCCCCTGCTGGGAGGATACAGCCTGTCAGGGCGTGTCTACACTGCCCATGAACCCCAGGTCTGTGGGACCCGGGCTCGTGCACTCGGTGCTCCCAAGCTCACGTTTATGCGTCCACACAGCCTGAACTGGACCCAGGTGTTGCAACCATGTTAACGTGTCCATGGTGTACTTCTGACTCAGGTCTGTGGGTTGACCTGCAGCCATACTGCAAGATGGCGGGGCTTAGACCTGCATCACAGTGGGACTTGGGCTCTGACCCCCCCCCCGCCTCCCCATTCCCCAAGTAGGGTCCTAGGACCCCACTCCTGAGCTGTGTCAGACCGATTTGTGTGTGGATGGAAGAGGGGCTTGGGCTCAAACCTGCGTCACAGCCCAGGCTCAGTGGGCAGTGTAGACAGACCTTTAAAGTCTCATGCACCGCACAGCTACCTGTCCCAATGAAGCCCTGGCCCTACCGCTGGGGTGATAGGTAGGGGAGAGGCACTTTACCGACGCAGGCCTTCACCGGGTATAGGGAAGTTGTGTAGGACAAAGACAAGAGCACATCCCTCAGGTGAAGGTAGGCAGCCCACCCGCTAGCTCCCTTGGTCTTTAGTGACACACGGTCCACAGGGCTTTGAACCCACGCCTCCAGAGGAACCATGGCTCAGGACACAGGCCCCTGGAGCCTGTCATGTCTCTGCCTCCTGCCTTTCCCTAGCCACCACTCGCTGATGGGCTTGGCGGATGCTGCAGGCAGGGGTATCCTGATGAGTTAGCAGGGAGCTGCTCCAGGGGTTGAATGTGGGATTGCAGGGGCTGGTACCAGGAAGGGCAGGTGACCTTCAGAGACCCCTGTGGTTCTGTCCTCACGTTTCGTGGGTGGATGCAGACTATGGCCCTGGTTTTCAATACCAGTCACCACTGGTTGCCAAGCGTCCTCTCCTGAATCACACTGGGAGCTGCCACGAGAGCAACCTGCTGTCCCTTTAGTGACATGTATGGCCTTCAAGCTGCCTACAGCTCCATGTCGAACAGCTACGGCTGTTTGGTGGGGGGGTCTGGGCTTTGCGCCACCTTGAATGCACAGTAGGAGGGGTCTGGGTCGTAGCCCATGGGCCGTGCAGGCCAGGCCCCAGGGGTCCCAGAAGGAAAGAGATTCCACTAACAGCTGGCTTTGAGTGATGTCACAGGCAGCCAGGTACTACTGGGAACACCTCACGGCCATGGGGCTGGGCAGCTCCACTGGCCGACTCATTGATCTGGCCATGTGCTCTTTTATAAACTCCCACCCCGCTCTCACTGCATGGGTGTACACACACACACACACACACACACAGGAGAGCCAGAAGGCCACGGCACAAAATGCACCCGAGACACTGCACAGATCACAGAAAGGAAAGAAATGCCAAGGCAGTTTATTTACAATGGTTGTATACAAAAAGACAGCTGGTGCCACATCTGGAACAGACCCCCCTTGCCTCTTCCCCACCCCTTCCCCGCAGCTCCCACAGCCAGATCCTGTGTCGAGCTGGTCTCTGAAGAGTGGGGCCCTGATTAATTGCTCTCATCATAAAAGCTCCAGAGAGGCCACTTTATCAAGGTCTCTCAGTTAATCAATGCCCTAAAGGCCTTATCCGGCTGTAGTGGCCAGCGAGACCTCACTTGTGGGAAACCGATGTGGTGCACAGGGCTCGGTCTAGCTGGAAGGCTCTGTCTGCAGGCCTGCTGGAGTAGAGAGGCTCCATGCTCCGGCTCTCTGCCCTCTGGCTTAGAGCTGGATGGACCCCGCCTCAGCCTTTCTGCTTTTTCTAGGAGTGAGAGGGAAGGTCAACCCCGCACACGGGGCTGTGAACACCAGCACTGGCTGGTCTTTCAGTGCAACCCGGCCCAGGGAACTGGAGGTAACCCTTTTCCACTATCTTCCTTACTAATGTGCCCTTGAAACTCTGTAACAAGGAGGTACCCACCATCTCTTCCAGGAGCCCACTCCACCTCCCAGCTGGGATGAAACCATTCTGAATATCTAGCTTCAGCTTTTCCTCACTTCCCTTCGGGACGTCACTCCTTGTCCTGCTGGCCTCAGCAGTAATTCTCCTCTCCATGGACACAGCTAGCTTGAAGCTAGTTATAACCTATGATCAGATACCCACCCCCGTCTTCCCTGTTGCTGTCATCTGGGCTCCTTCAGGCCCCCCTCATCTCTACTCCTTGCATCAGGATCGCTTCTGCTGCCCTGCACTGGATTCTCTCTAGCTCACCATGGAGCTGAATGTCTCTTCTCCCCGCAATCCCAGCCACAGGTGCCTTCTGCCCTCCCTCCGCTTTCCTCACTCCAAACTGCAGCAAGATTTTCTGCTGCTCCATACCTAGAAAAAGGGATCTCTCATTAGAAGAGACATCCCGGCTCTATCTGACAAATCCTCACTCTTAGGGAGATCACAGGGATTTTGAACTTCACTTCACTATAGCCAAACAAGTGTCTCCTACCAGCAGATAATGCCATCCTAGGAAGCTATTGTTTCTCATTGGTGGGGGGAGAGAGGGAGGGGAACCTGTTAATTAATGTCTGACAATACTGAATTGCTGGAGGAGCATTATTTCCAAAAGACTGCAAGAGCTTCTGGGAAGAACAAAGCCAAACAGTGCCAGACCCCCGACAGGCCTGCCGTTAGAGACAGAAAGAAGAATAAGACCGAGACACCAAAAGGAGATGTTTCATTTGTATTGATGACCAAAGTTCATGGCAAACACAGAACAGGCTACACGCACCCCCGAGAGACGACTTTCCTGCCCACAGTTACAGAGAGATGCAGACAGGGCAGCCCCGTCCGCTCGGCACTGATCCCCAAATTAAATTCACCCACGCTGCACATCCCTCTCCCACCCCGTCGTGTCACCTCCCCTAACTTCCAGCGTCACCGACCCTTTGTTCGTTTGGACTCTTTCTTAGACACTAATGATGAGGAAGTAAAAATGAAACCGTGGAGAGGATTGTAGACTTCCCAAACGGGGTGTGTCTATTCCCTCCCGCCCCCCATCCTCCCTCCAACAAACACCCCCCTGCCCCATCTCTCTCCTCCCCATCCCCCCGCCCTCCCCCAAAACAAATAGGATGGCTTCACTGGTCAATCTTTACATTCACAAACAAAGCAAGCAGAGGAACTCCCCGTCATCGGTCGCAAAGCTTCACCGGAGCTGTCAGTCCAAACCGCCACCGTCCTGGCCTCTCTACCTCGAGGCCTCTTCCTTGAGCTCCTTGTTTTTCCGCACCTCTTCCGCATGTTTGTCCTGGGGGAAGGTGGAAGGGGGACCCTGTTAGTGTGCTGGGCTTCAGGACTCAATGATGGGCAGCGACAAGGGGACTGTGGAGCGGTTTGACTGGGAAGCAAGGACAGAGGGTGGTGGCCCAGGTTCCTCCCCCGTGTAACACCACCAAAGCCACCAGTGTCATGATTATTAAGGGCTGCACTGGTGCCCAGGCACGGATAGTCCTTGGCCCAGATCCAGAAAGGCGGAGCTGATCAGACAAGACCACACTGCATGTCCCACAGGGCATGTCCACGCTGCAATTAAAAACCCATGGCTGGCCTATGGCAGCTGATTCAGGCGCGTGGAGCTCAGCTCCCAGGGCTGTTTAACTGCCGTGTAGACGTCCAGGCTTGTACTGAAGCCCGGGCTCTAGGATCCTGCGAGGTGGGAGGGTCCCAGAGCTCAGGCTGCAGCCCGAGACAAAACATCTACAGCCCTGCGAGCCTGCGTCAGCTGGCATGGGCCAGCCGCGGGTTTCTCATTTTGCATTGTAGACGCGTGCTTCGACTGGTCTTCTCCGTCTCACTCTCGGATACAAGGTGAAGGCTGGAGAAGGTGTTTGGAGGAGGCTAGTGAGGAGAGGAGTTGGCGGAGGAGCAGGACCTGGTGCACTGGAGTTGGGATGGATTTATTTATCTCTCTTCCAGGAGCTAGAAGAGGTCTATTAATGTTCAAGGGGTGCGGCCCACGGGGGAGTGTGTGCGCCAAGGCCTCCTCGCTGGTTTGTACCAGGGTGCTGTCCTCTGTGGATGGCACCTGGCGGGGGTGCTGTAACCCAGGAGCAGGGGAACTGCATATAGGGCAGCCCCAGGAGCTGGGTTTAGGAGACAGGAGGTGAAACGGAGCAAATGAATGTTTAGAATGAGCCGTTTCCCAGGCTGTGGAGTCTCCCTGGGAAGGTGCTGGGCGTCGCTTTGCTCGGTGCCTTTCAAACTAGCCTGGACAAAGCAGCAGAGAAGTCTCTAAGGAGGGACCCATGGTGAGGGTGATCGTCTGAGCCTTGGGAGACCTGGATTCAAATCCCTGCTTTGCCCCAGGCGCCCTATGCCTCAGTTCCCCCATCTGGACAATGGGACTCATCGCACTGCCCTGCCGTCCAAAGGGAAAGACAGTAAAGGCTGTGATGTGCTCAGATAAGGGGGCCATCGAAGTACCTTAAACTGAGACATAGACCAGCCTGGATCGGCGGCTGGGGGAAGACCAAGAGAGAGATTCAGTGGACATGCCTTGGCACGAGATGGAAAAGGGGGCCAGCAGCTGCCCTCGTGAGCTAGCCGACAAGCCCAGCTGTTTGTCTGTCTGCCTGGCCTGTCTCTGACTCCTGTCCAGAACTGCCTGGCTGTCCCCGAAGGTCACCCTGCTCTGCCACCCTATTCTGAGCTCAACGCCTTTCAGAGAGGCGCTGGAGAGAGGGATAGGAACCGCCATTTGGAAAGCCCCATCCCAGCGGTGGGTTTCTGGGACTGGAGTCTCCCTCCCAGGCAGGCAAAGGGAAGGGAAGGAGAGAGATGGTGGGGTTACCAATGACCCCTCCCTTTCAATTGGGACAGGGGCAATCACTTAACACCAGCCCAAGTCAGATTAACAGGCAGGCGGTCGAGGGAAATGATCATCACTGAACAAGGCAGCTGCCTTTGCTGGCCCTCTCTCAGCGCGGACCCCAAAATCTGTGCTTCTGTACTGATGGGAGTCAGGTTCCCGGGCAGCTCCCCCATCTCCCTCCCGCCCACCGCACTCCGATTCCTGCTCCAGTCTGTGATTATCTTGCTGCTACCCAGCAGCTGGAGGCGCTGATTGGGCCCAATGAGTCACGTGGTGCAGACCCCCTGCCCAAACCCACCCCCAACACCAGCAGCTGCAGCTGGCCCCCTCGCAATTAAGAATGAAGCTGCCGAGATTAAAGAGAGCTAGGAGGGAACCAGCCCCAAGTGGAGCCAGGGGAGCAGGGGACGGCATGGCGAGGGACGGCGGCAACGCACTGGGCTGGGTCTCAGGAGAGCAGGATTTGGTTCCCAGTTCTGCCACAGACTTGGCCTTGAGCAAATCACTCGGGGCCAGCTTGGGAAAGGGGTTTAGGTGTTGCCCAGCAGAGCAGAACGAGGCCCAGCCCCTGGGTGACCCGTTGCTAAGCAGAACTTTCTGCCCTGATTTTGGTGGCTCCCTGCAGGGTCTAGGGGGATCGTTAAGTCCCTAAAAAGGGGGTTTTCTGAAGCAGGCCAGCCAGGAGTGAAATGCTGAGGAGAGGGCGGGGAAGGGTTAGGGGCTAAGTGGCTGAGCAGGTGTGGGCGAGAGATGGATGTCTCCGGGTGGGATCCTCAGCTGTGAACTCTCCCCCAGAGTCAGACACCTGAGTCAGCTAAGCTAAGGGCCCTAGCAGCCGAAAAACCCTCCTCCGCCTGTCCCGCTCACCTGCTCGGCCTGCATTTCCCTGAGTGGCTGTCCTTCATGTGGGTGTGGTGCTGCCCCCCTTATCTCTGGGTGGCCTGTCTCTGGCCCTCCTGCTGCGGGGTCTGACAGGTACCCGGTTTTAGGCCTGGCTCAGAGCCGGCCTGGTGGACCAGGCGCTGCTGGTGAGCCAGGCGGTCCCCTGCCTCCTCTGGGAATCCCGCTCAGGGCCTCAGCTCAAACTGGGTCTCCGAGCGGGGGCGGCGTCAGGGTTTACACCGCTTTGAAGCTTCAGCCCCCGGGGGATTAAGCGGGACCTGAGCCGTAGCTCTGATGAGGTCAGTGGCACCAGTTTGGTGGACTTAAGCGCCTGTCTGTCTGTTTCGGTACCTACATCCCTTTAAAAATCTGGCCTGTCATCGCTTTTGGCCTCAGTGTCCCCTCTGTCCAAAGGGCCTAATAACCCTGCCTCGGTCTTTACAGTCTGAATAGACAGGGCCTGTCTCTTACTAAGTGTTTGTGCAGCACAATGGGGACCTTGATCTTGGCTCTTCTGGGTGCTACTGAGATGTAATAACAATACGGGACACCCCAGGGCACCTGTTGGGTGCATCGATTGCGCCTTGCCATGCCCTTTCCTCGCGGCCCTGGGTCTGGCACCCTCCGCTCACCTTCTCCTGCAGGCGTTCCAGCATGGCCGCTAAGTGGGCCTCCCGGTTCTCCTTGTTGGACTCCATCCTCTGTGCCAGCTTCTCCTTGGCTGCCTTGATGAAGTTGTTGTTCTCCTCGATGGCTTTCTGGATGACCTCCCGCTCGTGCTCCCGCTTCTCCGCCAGGTGCTTCAGGAGCTCCGCTTCCTGGTACTGCACCCACAAAGCAAACAGGACAAGCCGGCTGAGGGCTGGGCGAGAGCCACGCAGAGTCCCGGGCCCGCTGGGGACAGCGAGGTGCCTGAGTCACGAGTGGAACCAGCTGTTCAGCCTGCGATACATAACCCCCGCTCCACCCCAGCCACAGCTGCTGCCTAGGAGATTGAGGCCTGGATCCTCAAAGGTATTTAGGTGCCTAACTCAATGGGAGTTAGGCTCCTAAATACCTTTGAGGATCTCGGCCTTAGTCCTTTAGCTCAAGGTGCGGCGACTCCGGCTCTTAGCTCCCACGGTTCAAAGCCCAGTGATGGCCAAGCTGCCTGTCATTCCACAAGCCCATGCTACGTGCGAACGTGTTTTCCTGCCTCCAGCTTTTCACGACAGCCCGGTTCCAAGCAACGGGGGGAGCTTGCAGCGTTGGCCAGAAAGAATCAGTGCAAGGTCTTACCCCCACCCCTTCCCAGTGCGCCCATGGGGCCCCGCTGGACTCAGTGGAGTCGCCCAAGGGTGCTGAGGACAGAGCTTGGCATGGAGTTAAGGCAGGGCCGGGGTTGTCCCCCCTGTGTGACTAGCAGAAGCGAGAGCTGGGAGAGTCCCATTAGGGCATCTCTAACTCCCTCTCCTGCGAAGGGCGATTCAGAGGCTGGCGCTGAGCCGAACTGCTGCCCAGCAGAGCTCCTGGTGGCTGGGTCAGCGGAGAGTAGGGTGGCCAACTTGGTAATATTTAAAAACCGGACACTCCAGCAGGAGTGCTGGAACCACCCCTGCCCTGCCTCTTCCCCCCCAAAAGCCCAGCTCCTGCCCCGTCCTTCCCCCATGGCCCTGCCCCCATCCACTCCTCTTCCCCCGCTTTCTGTTGCTCGCTGCTTTTCCCCTCCCACCCGCTCAGGAGGGACTTGCCTGCAGAGCCGGGGCTGGGAGCCGCAGCTGCCCGATGCAAGTAGGAGGTGGCCCCGGGTGAGTAGGGGCTGGGGCGGGTGATGACCCGGCGCTTCCCCCCCACCCCCGCCTACATAAACCGGACTTTGAGTGTCCGGTCAGTAGAGCTGACCGGACACCGTCAGGTCCCCTTTTCGACCGGACTTTCCAATCGAAAACTGGGCACCTGGCCACCGTAATGGTGGGGGCTGCTGAAGGATGATCAATAATTCACATGCCGGCAAACCACATGAGCTAGCCAGGTGGCACATGCCCACTGGGGGATGCCTGCCCGGGCTGGACGAGCGCCCGCAGCAGAGTGGCCCTGGTGATGGCAGAAGGCGCTTGACCGTGGCTTTGCACGGAGCCTGCCCTTTCCCCCCTATGGGCTGCGCCGTCTGGAGGAGGACGCGGGGCCGGGCGTCGTGAGTTCTTCACCCCGTGAGCCCACTACATTCAACTGCGTCCCCAGGGACCTGCTCAGATTCTTCCCAGAATCCTCTGCAGCTGTTCCCACGCCATGACACACCAGCGCCCCACGTTTCCCCAGGGCCTCTCTCCCGCCACCCGCAGCGCGAGCCCCGGGGGCCCTTCTGCCTACCTTCCGCCGCTCCTCGGCTGCCTCCAGCCTCTTCTGGATCTCCTCCAGGGAGGGGTCGCGCCGCCGGGGCAGGGAGGCGTTGAACTCGGGGATCCCGTCGAAGGACGGCGGCTTTAGGATCACCTCGAAGGACTGGCCCGAGGTGCGCTTGTTCAGCTCGATGACCTCCATGTCCGAAATGACACACCAGGTGAGGTCGACGGTGTCTGCTGGGAGAGCGAGCGAGCGAGAGAGGCGTTACCGCTCGCACACTCGCTCTGCCCCCTGCAGCCACGCACACCCGCTCACACACTCACCCCCCCACACCTGCTCGCACACTCACACTGCCCCCTGCAGCCGCTCACACACTCACAGCACCCCTGCAGCCACTCAGTCACACCTGCTCACACTCACCCGCTCACACACCCATCCACATGCACATTCACCCGCAGCTACTCACACTTGCTTGCACCACCCACACACTGCACCCACTGCCATGCAGTCGGACTGGCTCACACACTCACGCTCAACCTCTCTGCAGCCACACACACACTCAACCCCCCACAGCCACTCACGCCTTCTTGCATACTCACACCCACTTGCACACTCACGGTCCGCCACCACTAGCCACTCACTCACACTCAGTTCCCCACCAGCTGCTCACACTCACATCCACTCAAGCGTAATCCTCTGCCATCCACTCACACCAGCGCACACCTACTCAGTCCTCCAGCAGCCATTCACACCTTCAGTTCCCCAGTATTAACACACACTCACACACATATCCTCATGCACCGAGCATTCATTCACCCCCTATGCTCATGTTCACACTCCTCCTGGTTTACTCATCCCCATTCACCGCTCTTTTCCTCCGACATTCACCCACGCTTCCCCCCGCAGTCACACACACACTCCCCGTTACACACCAGCCACCGGTCACTCATCCATTTCCTCACCCCTTATCTCCTCATTCTCACTCACGCGCCCTCTCGTCTCAGGCTCCATCACCCTCTCTGAGCCAACACACCCACCAGCTCACCCCCCCGCCCCCCTGTGCCAGTCCATTGTTCAAAGCACAAAACACAGCCGGTTTCACGGCTTGTCCCTGGCAAGGAGGCTGCGGGCTGGCCTGGCTTACAATGGGCCGTGTAAACTCGGAGTGGGCCTGGCTGGGAGGAGCAGGAGAGTGCCAGGGTACAGGCAATGCCCCTGCGGAGACATGGCCCTTCATGGGCAAGGTTCAGCTTAGAGCAGATAGAAGGGAATCATGTATTAGGGGGTTTTTTTTCGGTCTGGCGGCTGAACCGAAAAATCTGGGCTGGGGGTAGGGGGGTGGGAATTGGTTTGGTTCAAACTGAAGCTGACTTATTTTGTTTTTTTTTGCTGAAATGAAGAGCCGGGCCGGGGGGAGGATCGTTGAGTCACACAATGTTAAGTTTGACCCAGAAATGAAATGCTGTTTCATTTTGTTTCAGTTGTTTTTTTGGGGAGGTGTTTTTCATCTCTCTCTCTCTCTAATTAGCTAAATAACAAACTGTTCCAACATTTCAAAAAAGCTTTCCCCCCCCCCCCACTTTTTTTTCTGGCAGAAACTATTTGCTGAATCCAACCCGAACTCACTAGCAGTTTTGTTGACCTGAAAAATGTATTTTTGGTGAATTTGCTGTGAATCACACACTGGCTAAGGGGACGATGTCCCATTCCAGGGACTGATCCCCCTAGAGGATAACAACCTACTACAGCTATTTGCCACACACACAAAAAACGCGCCCAGCTCTGGGAGTTGTGGTGGATCACAACCTCAACATGCGTCAGCAATGTGATGCTGTTGCAAAAAAAGCAAATGCAATTTTGAGTTGCATGAACAGAGGCATGCCATGCACCTCACGGGCAATGCTAGTACCCCTCTACTCAGTGCTGGATAGGCCTCATTTGGAGAACTGTGTCCAATTTTGGTCACCACTGCATAGAAAGGATGGAGAGAAACTGGAAAGGATCCAGAGGCGAGCGACAAAGATGATGAAAGGTGGGGAACACAAGCCATGCGAACAAAGGCTGAAGGATCTGGGCATGTTTAGTTTGGAAAAGAGGAGATGAAGGGGAGACAAGAGAGTGGTCTTCATGATAACAGTCTTCAAATGCTTGAAAGACTGCATAAAAAAGATGGACAAAAGCTGTTCTCTCTTGCCACAGAGGCCAGGGCGAGAGGCAATGGGATCAAACTTCAGGATAGGAGATTTGGATTCAGAGTAACAGCCGTGTTAGTCTGTATTCGCAAAAAGAAAAGGAGTACTTGTGGCACCTTAGAGACTAACCAATTTATTTGAGCATGAGCTTTCGTGAGCTACAGCTCACTGCATCGGATGCATACCGTGGAAACTGCAGCAGACTTTATTTATACACAGAGAATATGAAAAAATACCTCCTCCCACCCCACTGTCCTGCTGGTAATAGCTTATCTAAAGTGATCATCAGGTGGGCCATTTCCAGCACAAATCCAGGTTTTCTCACCCTCCACTAAGCATGAGCTTTCGTGAGCTACAGCTCACTTCATCGGATGCATGCCGTGGAAACTGCAGCAGACTTTATTTATACTGGAAATGGCCCACCTGATGATCACTTTAGATAAGCTATTACCAGCAGGACAGTGGGGTGGGAGGAGGTATTTTTTCATATTCTCTGTGTATAAATAAAGTCTGCTGCAGTTTCCACGGCATGCATCCGATGAAGTGAGCTGTAGCTCACGAAAGCTCATGCTCAAATAAATTGGTTAGTCTCTAAGGTGCCACAAGTACTCCTTTTCTTTTTGAGATTTGGATTAAACCTCAGGAAAAACTTCCTAACTGTAAGAACAGCAGGACAATGGAGCAGACGCCTGGGGAGGTCGTGGAAGCTCCTTCACGGGAAGTTTTCAGAAGGAGGCTGGAGAGCATCTGCCTTGGATGGTTTCGACACAACAAATCCTGCATCTTGGCAGGGGTGAGACTAGGTGACCCTTACGGTCCCTTCTAGCCCTGTGGTTCTATGGCTCTATGATCCTATGCTTTGGCAATAGAAGATGAAACCATACAGGCTACAATGCAGCCAAGAGCCCAGTTTTCAGCATGAGCCAGTCCTCGTGGCAATCCGGAAAGCTAGACTCTCTGCTGCTTGGGACCAGCGCCTTCCAGAGTGACCTAACACTGCGCGCCAACACAAGAACAGAAGGTGTAAGGGGCCCGGCAGGTGGTGGTGGTCGGGAACCGGCCACTCTGTGGGCGGTGATGCCCAATTCTCATGGATCCTTGCTGTCGAGCATGACTGGGTCTGCCAATGCGAGTCACCTGGAATGATCCATCTAGCTGTGGCTTCCCTAAAATCAATCTGTGGAAACGCCCACTGTCAGTGCCTTGCATTTCTGACTCCTTGCCGGTGGGAGCCAGAGCCAACGTTATTATTATTCTCTAGCATCTGCTGAGTGCCCGCAGGGAGCACAGTGCCATAGAAAATACCCAGGAAATCATGCGCCCTGCCTCTAGATCCTTACAATACAAGTAAGATGAAGGGAGACTCAAGGAAGATTGTTCCTGTCTGAAAGGAACAGACCAATGGGCTACCTATTCCGGTAGCTTGTCTTTGACAAACGCCAATGCTTCATGCTTCTGACATGGTGAAATTCCTTTGTACCTGAGGGAAGGGAAGGTGAATTTCTTCCTGATCCCATGTGGTGATCCGTCTGTACCAGGAAGCATGAGGGTGGATGGCCCTGATCACTGTTATCCTAGCCAGAGGCTGTGCTTCATCACATAAATGCCCAGTGGGTTTTTTTTAAACTGTGCTAAGCTAATAGCGATTAGCGAGAGTGGGTTCTGCAGGCTAATTATAGGGCAGGAGAGAAAGGCCTTTGAGGAAAGAACAGCAGATGCGACCAATATCACTGATGTTAGTAATACACTGGCTAAAGGGGTGATGTCCCATTCCAGGCACTGGTCTGGCTAGAGGATAACAGCCTCCTCCTGCTACCAGCTCATGGAGTCTCTCCCTTAGCTGAAGTGGCTTTTGGGGCAGAAGGAGTGGGATTCAATCATCGCCCTGATCCGGGGTGCGGGTTGTGACGAGCTAGTTTGCTTTCCAGACGAGCTCGGTCTAGCTGATCTCCTGCCTCTGCCCTCCTTATTAACAAAAAGAAAAGGAGTACTTGTGGCACCTTAGAGACTAACCAATTAGAGACTAACCAATAAATTGGTTAGTCTCTAAGGTGCCACAAGTACTCCTTTTCTTTTTGCGAATACAGACTAACACGGCTGTTCCTCTGAAACCTCCTTATTAAGGGATTTCCCAGCTGTTCCTACGAGAGCCGAGTGAAACTCTCTCGCACCAAACTTTGTGGTGTCATCCTCCCTTCTGCCAGCAGGCGGCCCTCACCAGCTGCACAGCCCCAGCCAGGTCTGGATGCCTCTGGGTCAGCCGGTGTGAACCTCACCCTTGGGGGCCCTTCCTGACCCAGACTGATGATTGCTGTGTGGGATAGAGCCATGCAGGGTCCAGGACAGGTGGGGACCCCAGGAGACCAGCTGTTTTCCCCACAGCAGGCCCTTGGTAATACCAGAAGGAATGAATGTGCACTGGTCCCCCTCCACCCCCCATCTCCTAACAGGAGCAAGCGGTTGAGTGACCTACCTTCGTATTTATACACTGGCTTGTTCAAGGGGTCGGCCAGGAAGCAGGAACAGAACAAGGACACGAGGGGGAGCTCCTTCATCTTCTCTTTGTACGCTGCGAAAACACCATTGGGAGAGTCAGTCTCCGCAGTCCCGGCTGATGGCCAGAGAATCCGGCCTGCTCTGAGTCGCCCTGCACACGTCTCCCTGACCGAAATGCAGCCACCTCTGGGATGGAGCAGCTGCGGGGCAGAGAGGAGGTTTGCCAGGAAGGACCCCAGAGCCAAACCCTCCTTGTCTGTCTCAAGGGGACGAACAGGTTCACTGCGGGCAGGGATTCCAAACCCACGGCTCCAAGCCCTCCCCTCCAGCAGTGAAATCGGTGGGATGGTGGCTGAGACAGGTCCTGTGCTGCTGAGTTTGGTAAACTTCTTTTATACCAACAGCTCCTCACTTTTCACATCACTTGTCATGGTGATCACACCCATTAGCCACTGGACCTAAAGGCAGGCAAGTGTTGCTGTCCCAGGGGAAACTGAGGCAGAGTGGACCAGGAACAGAGCCCCAGGAAGCCTGCCCCCTGCTGGAGTTGTAGCAGCAAGACTGGGTCTGCGGAGCTCTGCCGGGGTGAAGCAAAACCCCAGGGTTGCACCCCAGAATCAGGGGAAGCTGTGACCTGATCCCGGAGCGCTGAGTGGTGGCAGCAGTGGGAAAATGAGGAGGTGGGAGAGCAAAGCGGCATGCCAGGCATGTTCGACTGCATTGCAACACCCAGGCCTCCTCGCTGCAGCCCCCTAGGAGCGCGCTGGGAGGCGTGGGCATTGCCCATGGGGGGGGGGGTTGAGCCCATCTCTATGTGGGCCACCTCCTGCATCTTCTGAGCTGCCAATTTAACCAGGTGACTCTCCCAGGAAACTCAAAAGGAACAGAGGCTGGAGTGATTCTAGGCACCTGCCGGGGCTAGGGACCCAGCGGGGCGAGCGTGCGGCCATGCCTCATCCCCCCCAGCCCTGCACGTGGCTGATGGAGACGAAGGCCATTGCCTGTCCCACAGGAAAGGGGTCAGGGCTAGACGCCTGTAGCAGGGGGAGTGAGGTGCCGCGGGCTGGGGGTATCTCACGGCACGTCCGTACCAGCCAGAGTCATGGTGCTCAGGTTCCTTCTGCAGGCTGGGAATCAAGTGTGGCCAGAAGTTTTCTCGGGGCCTGCAGGAGCAAAGAGACCAGGTGGTTAGTGCTCAGCAGGGCTCCTGTTAGCGGCACTCTAGGCAAGCAGGGTGCTCACACACACACACATAAACAGCCACGCAAGCCGGACATCAGCACCCTTATGAACACAGCTCCCACGCCTTGCCGCTCATAGGTACACAACACCCACACGTGATCCATGGACACACCTGTCTGGCCACAATATACACTGACTCACGAGCACACAGGCAGACATGCACAGGGACATAGGGACACAAACTCACACATTCACACACACGGACACAAACACTCCCTCCCCGCACATCTCTCTGCCCAGCCCCGTGGATACAGCCAGACCTTTGCTAGTATCCAGTTTGCAAATACTCTCCATATATACCCCCCCTCACAAAGGGTTGCTCAAACACTCCAGCCGCCCCCGGGGTAGGTGGGATATCTCCACCCCCTCTGTCTCCTTCCCCACACAAATACCATTTACTCTCTCTCTCTCTCATCGGAGACACAAACAGCCCCGCACCCACAAACACACGCACCCGGTGCCCTCAATATACGACCCCCTCACCCCCCCAACCACGCACCCCCCCAGACCTCCCCCCACCCCCGGCTCACTGCCAGCCCACACCCTGCTCGCCTCCATGATGTTCCCCCCTTTTTGCATTTCTACCAGCGATGTCCTTTAAACAGAATTCAAACCCCAGGCGCTCAGGGCACTTCAAGACACCAGGGAGCCGAGCCAACCAGCCGCACTGCGAGACCAGTGGGCTGGTCCCCACCGTGCAGAGTGGCCAGTGAGACCCCACAGGGCCTTAGGAACACAGAAGTGGCTTGCCAGGGAGAGAATCCAGGAGTCCGGTGCTACCACTAGGCCATCCTGGCTCTAAGCAGCACTGCTCATGGACCGGCCTTGCAAATTCCCCGTGCCCACTGCAAGCCTCGGGGGGGCCCCTGGAGGAGCCCCAGATGGCTGAAGGCTGGCCTGAGTCATGGCAGCGGATGCAGCCTCACGGCACCAGGACGGGCCCGTTTGACGGCTCGCTGGGGAGGAGAATCCCCTTCAGCTGGGCTCGCCGGCCCCCCCAGCCGAGGAAGCCCGAGGTTAATGGCGGGGAAGGGGATAGATTGGTGAAGACGGGGCAGGAGGTGGCGGCCCAGCTAATCCAAGGCAATCAGGCCTCGCCAGGTCCCGTGCCCAGTAACCCCACAGCGGGGGCTGAGCTGGGCATACGCCCACCCCCTCCTCCAGCCCCGTCATTCGAGTCGGGCTCACGGGGCCTTGCGGGCCGAGGCGGTTGCCAGGTGACCGTGTTCAATAGCAGCCTCATCCCCTGCCCCCTTCTGCTGTGCTGCGCCAACGCCCCTCAATCCCGACCCGCAGCCCCCTGCTATCCCAGCCCTGGCTCCCTACACCCTGCTGTGCCAATGCCCCATAGACCCGACGTGCAGCTTGTCATGTTATTCCCGTGCCTACCGACCCACCCACCCCTTCCCCCTCTCCTTTTGCTGATGCACCTGACACTTGCCCTGCAGCGATTGTACTAGCCAAGCTGGGGGGGAGGGAGCCCAGCACTGGCATAACAGGGGCCATTGTGGGCCAGGCTTGAGGAGCATCAGCAGAGCTGGAGGAGGTGAGGAGGGGGGCAATCAGGACAATGCAAACCGTTCTTTTGGAAGCCAAACAAAACAAAGCAAAGAAAAAAACAGCCACCGGAGCAGACAAAGCCGCTTTTCTTCCCTCCCTGCAGTCAAGGAGCCGCTGAAACTGGGCGTAGGTCCCACAGCTGGAGCGTTACGTAACGCCCGACGGCCCTCAGAGACCACACGCGGCCAGCACAGCAGGGCCTATATGGGTCTGTGGGTCACATATTCCAGCTTTCGCTCCCTGCTTGTCCAAGTTCGTACAGGTTGGGGGGTACCCGGCCAGGCACACATCCCTGCAGGGGTGCAGCGCAGTGCGAGGTGGGGGACAATGGGCAGGGGAGTCTGATACTCATCGCTAACGATACTCAGTGAGATTTACTCATAACACAAAGGATCCCTCAGACCACTGCCCGGGAGCTGGCAACCTGGCCTGGAAAGACGCATTCGACTACTGGGGCATATGCCACTGAAGTAATTTACCAGTGAAGTTATTTCTCCTACAGGGCGCAGGCGTCTCCCGGTCTTTCAGCCACGTGTGCATGGCCCGTGAATCCCCACCACGTTACACAGCTGATGCCTCTTGTGTTTGGAATCAGCGCCGTTTCAGAGCCCAGAGTCCAATTTCTTTTCCTTATAATACACCAGGACGTGGCACAATTAATTCCCAAGGCCGAGAGACCCCCCCACCGGGGCAGCAGTTACTCCCTTAGCTCAGTTGGTAGAGGCCTGTCCTGAGGTTCAAGCCAATCGGATGACCCCAGTCTCGGATTCTGCTCCCCTTCCCCAGCACCGGTGCTTTCCCCGACCCCTAGCGTGTGACTGTGGATTGGTTCCCGCAGGCTCTCTCTGCATAGCGGGCATGGCCAAGGTTGGGAAGACGTGGTATGATTTCCCACCAAGAGCTCTTTCTAAACGCCTCTTTAGATCATCTCTTTTCATTGTCAAAGCAAACCCTTTCATACCTTTCTCCGCCCTGCACATCAAAACAATTAGTGGCTGCCGCATCATACAAGCAACCCTACAATAACAAACCAGCCTGAAAAGCTCAGCACTCGCGAACAACCCGCTGATAAATAAATCAGCGAGTTCAACTCAGTAGGTGACCCTACAATAATAACCCAGCAGGGGGCAGCCCAGCGCTCCTGAGCAGCCCTACCATAATAAATCAGCGTGGCCAATCCACGCAGCCACCTGCAACAACAAACCAGTGGGTGGAGGCCAACACTCACAAGCAACCCTACAATAACAAAGCAGCAGGTGCAGCCCAGCACACTCAGAGCTGCCCTGCAATACCAGACCTAAGGTAAAATGTGTGTCTTGCTTATGGGCAACCCTACAACAACAAACCAGGGTGCAGAAGCACAGCAAGCGGGACTGGCTTTCTCGAAGGGAAATAGGTTTTGGTGTTGATTGTCAACAAAAAGAGGTTTTTCAGCTATGAAAAATGCACCAATGAAAAATACCTTCTCCCTCTGTCACCTGGAGCCTTTACAATAAAGATCAGCTGCTTACCTAGCTTAGCCCCATGGGACGTCTGATCTCCAGGTGCAGTTCTGTCTGTGGCCTGGGGTCTTCAGGCAGGCAGACAAGTCCCGTCTGGCCTTTAATTGGTGATCATGGCAGAGGAAGGATGCTGGCCTGCTCTCACACTAAACAGCTCTCCACCACAGCGGCTTCTCAGCCTGCCCTGCTCTGAGCTGTGACCCGCCCACCCCCCGGCCGGGAGGCCAGGCTGGCAGGATGCGATGTGCCCTGTACTATCCCAGCCCGGGTACAGTGGATAAAAACAGACGCTGGCCTCTCTTTAAATGGGTCGCCCAGAACAGTGCTGGAAAAGGGACCACAATTAAAATTCTTCCCAGTGTCCCCGATTGATTCCCCCAGGGCACAGGTCTTTATTCCTGTACTCATCCCGCTGCCCCGCTCTCCCCAGCTCCAGCTGGTCTCTGAGCAGCATCAGGAGCTGGCCCCCAAAGTAGGGGGTGTTGTAATAGCTCTTAGCCCTGCTGCAGAACCCTCCTTCTGCAGATCTCAAAGCCCCTCGGATTGCATTGGCCCAGGGAGGTGGGGAAAGAGTTTCAGCCCCATCGTACACATATGGGAAACCGAGGCACAGCGCAGTGACAGGTGGGTTTTCAATGTTAACCCAATGCCATTCCTATTGAGGTCAGTGGTAAACATCCCGCTGGCTTCAACGATAAAATGCCCATTGACTTTGGTGGGAGTGGCGCTGGGCCAACGCTGAGTGCCACTGGAAAGCCCGATGTCAGATGGGGGGGGCAGCAGCCGAGGCTGGCCTGAACCCCACTCTCCCCACTGCACTGGCTCCGCTAACGAGAGAGCCTTGCCAAGGCCGAGCCCTGGCCTGGCTAATTCCAAAGGAGGGTGCCCGGGGGCTGTGCATGAAAAGCCCCTGCTCAGCAGCCCAGGGTGTTGGGTTTGATGCAGGAATCTTTGGGCGAGGGAGAGCACTGGCCGCAATAGATGAGCATAAATGGTCCCTTCTGGCTGTGGATTCTAGGCTCGGGGGTTCCAGCCCTACCTCTGCCACTGACTCCACTCTGCCACATTGGGCAGGTTGCGTGCCTCAGTTTACCCATCTCTGAAAAGGAAGTAATAATAGTTACCTACCCAGAAGGGAGGCTGGGAGGCTAATAATAGATTGAACCTTATCGATCTCCAGCTCCCTGGGGCTATACTATATGCTTGTAAAGCATCCAGCATATTGAGGGCCCAGACTTGCTGACATCTCTAGGCGCTACCCAGGAAGGCTAATAACAGTGTATAGTTAGATAGCAGTTTTTGTGCAAAGTTCCGAAAGTGCAAAGCACTCACCATCGTTGTTACAAATGGGGAAACCGAGGCACGGAACTGTTAAGAATCTGGTGCCAGCTTATACAAAAAGGCCATGAAAGAGATAGAACCCATATCTCCTGCATGCCAGGAGCCCCACCCTTCACCTTGCTCAGGCCAGGGCTGGGCAAGACTTTCATAATAAGGACGAACTCAGTCCCTAAGGATCAATCAAATCCAGGGCTTGGGCCGGGCTCAGTGAAAGATCCAGCAAGGTCTGCAAGCTCTGGCTGAGTCCCTGGCGAATCTGGCTCGATAGCTGGCTACTGAAAGTCTACAGAGGGAGTGAAGGCCTTGCCAAAGCCCTGGCTGGGATGATTTAGTTGGGGATTGGTCCTGCTCTGAGCAGGGGGTTGGACTAGATGACCTCCTGAGGTTTCTTCCAATCCTGATCGTCTATGATTCTAAACTGCTTTCCAAGAGCTATCAAGCCAGGGATGGGCAGGCAATGCAATTCCCAGCCAGGTTTGCTATGCCCTATTGAACTGACCTGTTCCAGGGCGTGCGACCAGGTTACCAGCTGTGGCAGCTGCCTATGCTGGAGAGAAGTGCTGAGTGCGGAGGGGGCTGGTGCCAAATGTCCTGGCTCCTGGCCCAACACCAGGCAGGGATGTGCTGTAACTGACGACCCTCGTGTGTGTGTTTGTGGGGGCAGGAGTGGGCTGCAATGGAGAAATCCATTGCAGTGGGCTGGATAGGGGGGTCAGGTGAGGTGCCTGAGAGAGGGGTGGGTCTGTTGATGGAGGACGGGGCGTCAGTCATTGGGGGGGGGAGGGCGGGGTTGCAGGAGAGATGGGGGGGGGGGCTGCAGATGCATGTCGGCATTGCTCCAGGGTGTTAGCGGTTAAAGCAGCGTCCTCTGTGCCACCCTCTTCTTGGCATGCAAAGTGCAGTAGCTAAGGTCTCTGAGCTGGCATTGGACTGGCCCAGGGCCCCCGGTGCAGCCAGCTGTGGGCCCCCGGGTACCTCCTGGCATCCAGAACCGGCTCTAAGAACCAGCCCGTCCCGGGTCAACATTGTGCCACGTAAACAAACCCCACAGCAGGGGGAAAGAGGAGCCCAAACAATGGGCCTGGCCTCGTGCCAGGCCCGGGGAGCTGGCTGTGAGCTGGCGTGCTGACAATGGGTGGATTGTTTCCTCCAGCTGGGGGAATGGGCTGGGTTTGGAGCCGTGGCAGAATCGCTGGGCGGCTCACCGAGCCCCATCTGATCGAGCCCGCGCGCTCCCGCCCCTCGCCTGAGTCTGGGGCAGCACCGACCAGGCAGGTCTGGAAGCAGGGCCCAGATGGGGACAACTTTCCTCTTTAATAGCGAGGTATGGCCAGGAGGTGACAGGCCCGGAGGGAGAGGCTTTGAGCAGTGCCCTGTTGGGATCACGAGAGAACACGGCAGGTGGGGAGCTAAGAACCTGCCTGCCCCCTGTTACCTGGGGAAGCAGCAGAACCCAAGTGGATCTGCCCCAGCAAATCTCCAGGAGCCACCCAGCCTCCTTGTTATGGAGCCTGGGTTGGTGGTGGGGGGCTGGGGTGGTGTGGAGGGGAGGGGAGGGAGGTCTCAGAGGAAGGGGTTTCCTCCCTGTTGTGAGGGCTCCTATCTTCCTCGGCCTTGTGGGCGGCACGTCCCGGTCACTAAGGGCCCAGCACATTGTCAGAGCGATAGGACTCGGAAATGACAGTAACCCTGCTGGCCACGCCGGTCTGGCTTCGAGCCAGGGCTCTTTAATGCCCAGAGACAGAGGATAAATGAGGTCACCTCTGTGCATCTCAGAGCAGCCTGCAGCTGCTAACCTGGCCATGGGCTCCTCACACACAGCTCTGGTGCTGCACCTCAGTCCCAACCGAGAGTCCCCCCCTCACCCTGCTATCCCAGTCCTGGGAGATCCCATTCCCCACACAGCCCTGTCCATGCCCCTCACTCCTGACCTGCAGCCCCCACTGCTGTCCCAGTCCTGACGCACCTCAATCCTGACCTGCAACCCCCCCCACCCCCCGCCATCCCTGTCCTGAGATCCCCCTCCCCGAAGTTCCTCAATCCTAGCCCGCAGCACCCCTTGCTATCCCAGTCCCCTCACCCCCGCTGAGGTGCCTTGATCCTGAGCCACAGGTGAGCGCCATCGACCCTCCCTATCCCTCAGATCCCCATCGCCTTGTCTCAGGGGAAGTCACATCACACAGGAGCACCGGAACCTCGGGGCAGGGGGGGGCACTGAAATGGGAATTGTGGCAGCACCCCCTGCTCCTTCTCTCCCCCCCAAGGCCCCACCCCTGGTCAGGCCAGAAGCTGGAGCCGAGCCATGGTAAGAGCTGCCCAGGGAACCCAGGACCATTGTGGGGAGCCCCAGACCCCCCACGTACCCTGGGTGGCATGCCCCAGGGGGTAGGGACGCAGGCCAAGGGCTGCTCTCAGCTACTACACCCATGTTAAAAAGTGGGTGGGCCATGGCCTCCAGGACCTCTCCCTTGTTTCTAGCACCCCTGACAACCCAGCAGGAGGAGAGTTTGCTAAACTGCTCTTTGATCCTCTGGGTTTGGAGATCACAGAGGGCCCTGGGGTCACCCCGCCTGGCCCTCTAGCTCTCCCGTCAGAAACCACACGTGCATTGAAGACCAATGGGTTGTCCTAGGCTACAGTGGCAGTGGGCCGACACCTGACTCATCCAAGGGTCTTGGGGGGGGAGGTCCCTCTCTTCTGCAAGCACCTGGCCTCTCTCCATGGAAACCCCTCTGTAAAACTCTGTTATTTCCTGGACAGCCCCAGCCACACAGCCAGGGCTGAGCAAAGAGCGCTCCTCTCCGGGGATGTCACGCTAGCCGGGACAGGCTGGGCCACATGGGAAAGGGGCTAATGGCGGGGAGCGGTTTGTGCTGGTGTCTGAACACCAAACGTGTGTCACTGGTGGAGTGAATCCTGCTGCCATTGCGACGGGTACTCTGGAAAAACCTAGACTCGCGAAATAGGTCAGAAGTCGTTAACCCATCGTTCCCCCAACTCCCGGGCACCAAGCGAAGCCACATGCTGGGGCAGCGTAGACGTCCCAGGGCCCAGACCTACTGCCCCCGACCCAGGCTGCTCCCTATTCAGCGAAGGGGGAATTTCCCCCGCTGCAGCAGTGTGCGGGCTGATCCCACGGGTGGCTGCTGCCACTCGAGGCCGACATAGTTACAAAACGCGGGAGGGGCTCTGACGTGCCATGCAGCGTGGGGACAGCCTGGCCAAGCGTGCACAGCCCGGCCACCTTGACTGGAACCCCTCTGCTCCGATTTAAAGGCACCTTCCTCAGCGGCTAATGAAGAAGTGTGCTGCAGGGCCCGCGGGCTAGCCCTTCTGAAGGCCTGGTTGAAGTGAACGCTTGAAACGATTCCTCCCAGGCCCCAGTGGATGTTTGTCCATCTCCCAGCATCGCCACACAAATCTCCACATTGTACCTCTTTACTCAAGAGAGGCTAAGAACTGGGATAGCAGGGAGGCTGCAGGTCAGGAGTGAGGGGCCTGGACAGGGCTGTGTAGGGAGCCCAAGGCTGGAATAGCTGGGGGGCTGCAGGTCAGGATTGAGGGGTACCAGCATCACAGCTTGAAACAGCCTGAGGGCCAGGCAGGCTGCGGGGCAGGGAGCCCACCAGGACTGTGGAAGCAGGCGCTGATGGTTAAAACAAACCCACTGACGACTTCCATTGAGTTTTGCTGTGAGCACTACTGTTTGCTAGACAGAAGCAGCAGCCGCCCTGCATAATGCCAGATGAGCTCATCTGGGCTGAACAATGAGGCGTCCGTGCGTCTGGAAGGGCTGGTGCGATTTGCCTGCACAGCCCTCCCCAGGCGGGGAAACCTCCACCCTCTCCAGGGCTGGTTCAGCTTTTAAAAGCTCAGTGCCCTCCAGCTGCCACCCAGTCCTCTTCTCTCTCACCTGCCTCTCCCCATCTGAAATAATATTTAAAGACATTGCAAGGAAAGATCGTTTCCTGCCTCCATCAATAAAGCAGACTGTGCCCCCCGAACCCTTTCCAGCACTGACAGCATCCTCCCTCCCCCCAGCCTGGCTGCTTCTTCACTTCTTGCTGCTTTGGTACCAGCTGTTCCCATCTAGTAAGGCAGGGGAAGCCTCTTTGGAACTCTCCGTCTTCGGGACGTCCCACCTGGGAACCCCCGGTCCAGGCCCCTGCCATCCCGTCCCACCCCAGCTGGCTCTCAGGTGGGGCTGCCCCCACAGGCGACATCCTCGGGGCATGTTCCGGAAGCATGGAGTGACCCTAACTGACTCTACTTGGGGCTAATGGAGTTTTCCACCCAAAGGTTGGGTGGGGTGCGTGGACAGGGAGGCAGGAATTTGCAGCCCTCCTCTCTGCCAGTTGGGAAGTGGGATCAGAGAGACCTGCCAGCGTACAGCCGGCAAGCCTTGAACTCAACGGGCCTGATCCTGATCCCATGTACACTGACTTTACCCCCATGTAAACTCACTTCAGTGGGGCTACTCCTCATTTACACCAGCTGGAGATCAGAATTAGGCCCAATGCATCTATTGTGGGGTTGAACAGGAAAGAAAGACACAGAGAGAGAGAGAGAGAGAGAGAAAATCCCATGCAATCCAGGTTATGGCTAGACAGATTAGTATGAAAGAAAACGTCAAACATACAGGATCCAGCCCCAGAGTAAAGGCTGGCACCCACTTTTCAAAGGAAAAAACCAACCAGTGCATTTAGATTTGGACTCACTGCCCTTTCTCTCTGCCTGGGGGGATGCACCCACCAGCTGGGCACAGGGAGCCCTGCTCCAAGCACAGATGAGCTCTGGGATGAGGAGGAGGAGGGAGCTGGTGCCCAGCTGTTGGGGTGGAGCTGGGAGTCTCTCTCTTGGAGTGGTCCAGTGGCTACCACTCCTGGATGCTGCTAGAGGTACTGGAGCCTGTGCCTCACCAAGCAGCAAAGCAAAGGGGTGAGAGCGAGCCAGCACGTGGGAGTCAGACAGGACAGGCAGACAAAGAGGGAGCCTGCAGCTGGACGCACCCAACGACGGGGAGCCACTCTGCACGTGGGGGATCACGGCGCTTTCAGACCCAGCCCGGGCGTCTAGGAGACATGGAACAGAAAGACGGCAAACGGTGCCAATCGGTTTTGTAAAACCCCCTCGCGCCACTTCCTCCCCATGGGATTGTCCTGCTAACCCAATGCCGGGCACAACCCACCTGGGATCCCAGGGTTCAAACCCATCAAAGCAACAGACCCCCCCATGCCGGCCTCCCTGCCTGAGCTCCTCGCTGCTTCCCCTTCCTTTGCGACTTACCCCCAACACCTGCTCTGTCTGTCGCTCCTGGTGCTACTCATTCACTTACTGCTGCTGAGGGCTCCTGCCAGCATCAGCCCCGCTTGCCAGCCTCTCACCATGACATCACCTCCGAGCCAGCCGATTGGCCGAGCCCAGGGCCTTTGCTGATTGGGCAGCCTCTTGTCAGGGAAGCAGGGATTGCCTGAGTAACTCCTTGCAGGCCAGGTACCCAAAGGATGATGTCACACAAAGAAGCTATTTTCAACTCCGGGGGAGAGGCTGGGAGAGAGCAAAGCTGGCTGGAGAGATCCGGGGCAACTTTGGAGAACCCTATTAATGGACATGACAGGGATCCTCAAATGCACCAGCCAGGATCCTGCCCCGATTGTGCCACGTACTGAACCTGCACCTACAGGGAGACACGGTCCCTGCCCTGAAGAGACTCCAAAGTCCAGCTCCTGCTCCCCGTGCAAAGGGCACTGGGGGGACCTGAGCCACCATTAAACAAACAAAGAGACAGAGGATGAAAAATCAGCCAGATCTCACTCAATCTGTCATGCACCCCACGGCGGGGGTCAGATTCTCAGCTGGTTTATTTCCCTTGTCTTCAGGGGAGTGAGGCCTCCAGGGAACCTGCCCCTATAAGACAGAAAAGACTATTTTGTCCAGGCTAGTTTTAAAAGTCTGAAATAATGAGCCTTCCCCGCTACCTCACAGCCCCTACTGCATCTCCCCCGGTGTTTTTCCTGCTGCTCAGGGTAAATCGTCCTTTTATTAATTAATTAATTTAATTAATTAATTAATTAATCGTCCTTTTATTAATTAATTTGTTTATTTACTAAATGAGGCCAGAGTTCCCAAACTGCCCTGGCCTTGCTGAGCTCGCACCTATTCCCACAGGGCCCAGTCAAATAGCTCCAAATCCTGGCATTTATTTTAAATAAACCTCAGAAATTCCACTAAAAACCACATTAAGGGACCCTTCCAGTCACACAGTTAAGCACTCCAAAGTCAGATGCTGCTGGTTTTCTTCCAGTTTGAGGTAAAGTTTGGGGTGGTCGTTTATTATTAATATTACAGTAGCACTTCAAGGCCATGACAGCGTTTGGGCTCCACCGGGCAAGGATCTGTACAAACACATAGCGAGAGATCATCCCAGGGCTGAAGAGTTTACAATCTAAATAGGACGTAAAGGAAGGATCATTATCCCCATTTTACAGCTGGGGAACAAAAGCACAGAAAGACAATGTGAGCGGCTCAAGGTCACGCAGGGGGTTTGGAGCAGCTCTGGGAACTGATCCTAGATCTCCTGAGTCTCTACCCAGTGCACTAACCACAGGCATGTCCTTCTCCTAGACCCAATCCACCCCGTCCTAATTGCAATCCATTCATAGTCAGCCATGTCGAGCAATGATCCCCAGCCCTACATCTCCGGGGGACTGCGTATGTACATGCTGTGCTGTCCTCTGTTGCACAGAGTGCATCAGACCAGATTACGTATCTTGTTTCCCTCTCAATAGCAGAGGAGCTGCTTCCTTCCCTCCTCAAGGGCTGCATTTCCGGAGCTCACGGTCATGGGCCCCATTTCTGACTGCCACAGGTAACTGGTTGGTTAACAAGTGTGACACCTGTGTTTACATCCATGGATCATTATAAATGGATCTGCAAAGCAAATTCCAGAGGAACTTGATTCATGGCTGGAAAATGCCAAACAGTCTAAAAACCATAAAAATGATAAACCCTGGGATGAAATGTAGCAAAAGCCATTCCGATCTGCTCCGGATTTCTGTTGGGATATTCAGAGGACCAGAAAATTAAAGTGGATGATTTAAATTGTCTGAAAGTTCATTTAACTCCAGAGTTAATCCATGGACCACAAATCTTCAATTACAGGAATAAACTCTTCCACTCAAGGGAGAAAGGTGAATGACGCGGGTGGAACTGAGATTGGATTTATTATAGCCTGATCAGGCGTACATGTGACTTGGGTTTGAGGGCAACCCAGTCCGGAGGTTAGTTCTCATCATAAGAAATACCAGGCAGTTTGGCAGAATGATCTGTCCCCTGCTCAGGTCTAGAGTAGCAAAATGTGCTGAAGAGCAGAGGAAGATGCAGCAGAGCTAAGCGGAGAGGGGCAGAGCAGAGGGCAGTTGAACGCCAGGACTGAGAGTTGTGTGTCCAAGTCCATCACCACCCAGGTGCAATGATCGGACTGGACTAGCAGGGGCGTGGCAGGCCGTGGAGATTCGCTGATGCCTTGACACAGAGCTGTGTTGACTGTCCCTGCCTGCACCAGGCGTGTGCTGCTCAATATCATCCATTGCTCATTTCCATCAGCAGCGCCATGCCTGGTGGAGTTCTGCTGTAGAAAATGTGTTAGCAGGAGCCAGAGTGGGACGGGCATCTCTGGTCCCCATGAGAACATAGCAAGCCCAGGAGTGGGGAGTCCCCGGAATGGCAGCCTCCCTCCTCTGAGCTGATCAATCGATCCACATTTCTCTTGCACCTAGGCTGGGCTCCTGGAGATGTTGGGCGAGGTCGCCCCATCTGCATCAAGAGCACTGGAGAAGGTCTCCCCAGAACCACGGACGCCAAACCCATCCCCCCACCCACCCGCCTTGATGGAGCTTGGGCTGGCTCACAGAGGCAGAAGACCCGAGAGACATCAGGCCTGTCTCTAAACAGACCCCAGCCCAGCATGGCCGGTGATTGCTGGAAAAGAACAGCCTCCCTGTGTGACCGTGTGCAAATCAGTCCATCTCTCCCTGCCTCCGTTCCCCACCTGGAAAGTCAGGTAAGAGTCCTGGGCCTCTCTTGTCTATTTAGATTGGAAGCTCTTCTGGGCAAAGACAGTGTCTTGTCTGTGCAGCATCCAACACAATGAGGCCTTGATGCCCACTGGGGCCTGAGCTACGGCAATACAAATTATAACTGGCAAACAAAACCAATGGGGAATGACCGTTAAGGCTGCAGCAGGATAAGCCCCATCCCCGCAAGACTTGAAAAGCCAGGGAACAAGGGGGAAGACTGGTGCATTCCTTTCCACCAGCAACATCTCGCTCATGTCCTCCAATGTTTCCCATGGCTTTCCTTTCCACCTGCAATGGATCCCCCCAAAGCAATCCGCAGCTCCGCTTCACCAAACTCGCGCCCAGCACAGATCCTCGACCGTGACCTCCTATGTGCCGATCGCAGTCACAGCCCCAGATCAGCACATCTGGCTGGCCCACATTCCGTGCCTCTGGGGAGCGATTTTCCTGTAATGTGGCTGTGAGTGCTGCTGAACCAGGGCAGAATTGTCCTCAAATGCAGCCGGGGACGCAAGCCTGCAGCTGCAGCTAATGCGTTGGGAAAATGCTCCAGGGACAAACAGTACCAGGCTGTGCACTGCAGTCCAAACGGAGTTCAAGTCAGCCTCGCGAGAGGTCACCAGCATGGCCCTCCAGGTCAGAGATGCCTGGATAAGAGCTAAGTGTCACTGTTATAGGAAGCCCGCAAAGAACGTGAGAGGCCAGCAGAGAGAGCGTCTGGAATAGTGGGCTGAGGATGAGAGCAGGCACCTAAGACAGAGCACCTGGCCAGACTGCGTTGAAACGCTATTGTCCCCAAACGCATGGGAAGAGCCAGTCACTCTGTTCACCCTTCTAGTTTGAAAGGACTCAAATCCAAAGGATTGTCTTCTCCGTATTGCATGTCCAGCTCTTTGTTCAACCCCCTCTCACAGCTGCTATGTCTTGGATGGTGGAATTCAACAATCTTCTGTCCCTGGAGCACCCGTCATCCTCAAGGACCGCCTACAGCGGGGCTGCAGGCCAAACCCTGGTGCTCTCGACATCAATGAGAATTTTGCCACTGACTTCAGTGGGACCAGGATCTGGTTCTCTGTACATCTAGCACCTCTAAAGGGCAGCCACCTCTGGGGCAGGGAGCATCAGTTGGGTAAATAAGTGGCATGTAACCATGGCAGGGGAGGTAAAGAAACCATGCAGACCAGCCAGGCTCTTGGAAGGACAGGAGGACTGAGACAATCCTGCCAGACTTCAATACGCAGGCTGTAGGAAGTCCAGAGGCTACAAAGCCATCCCCTCTGGTACGTGCCCTCCATGGACAGGCAGGCCAGGGCGGTGAGACAGTAACAAATAGGGAAGCTGCTGCCCAGGGCCAGAGCAAAAGGTGTTTGAACATCACAGCTTGGCTGAGTGGCTGTAACATCCACAGGTCCGGTGCTCTCTCACCCAGCTCTGGAAGGGTCCCTGGGAGGACCCCCTACAGTGTGTTAGCCCCCTAGGGTCACACTCTCTTGCTGGGGTCAGCTCCTTGGCCTCACTGCCTCCTAGGTCCAAACCTCCCAGCCTTCAGCACCCCGGCTTCACGCCGCGAGCTCCCAGCGGCGAGTTCCCCTGGATCGGACACCTGGGGAAGACTTACGCTCCCAAAGGGAACAAGGCACCCCCAGTTTAATCCGGCTCTGGGGTGACTGGCAGCCAGTGCTGTAAAAGCAGGAGGGTGTATCAGATGTCTGGAACGTGGCGTATGAAGTACTTAGTTATCCCAGAGAGCAGAGGGTTACAGCATAGTCCCCCTGCCTCAGTTCAGAACCCAGAGCTCCCTCTGACCCCTCCTGAGTCCCAGCCTGCTTCCAGCAGCCCCTCCTTAGTTCTGTGTTCAAAGTCACCTGGCCTCCGCCTCAGGCTTCGTTCTCCAGCTGGTCCCCCCCGGCTGGCCTCCAGAGAGGGTGGGCCACCTGGGTCGTTAGTTGCTCAGTGCCCCATGTCGGGCAATTGCCTTCTGGGACTCTCCGTAGGCAACCAGGCAGCCAGGCGTCGGTCCCACCTGCAAAGATTGAACAACCTTTCCCCCGCACCACCTAGTAAACCAGGCAGCTCACAGGGGAAACTGAGGCACACACAATCGTCATCCAAAATATTATATATTATCCGTTACAGGGTCCAAGAGCAATTAGCGACCAAGCCGGTATCATGGCAGCACAGCATGACTCGGCAGTGGGTTTGGACACGGGACCATCAGCAGAGCCCCCGCTTGCTGCAGCTAAAGGGATGACGTCTATTAGCTTTCAGAAGTAGGGGGCCTGTTCTACCAAAGTCTAATCAAGCCTGGAAGAAGAGAGGCCTATCTAACACAGGGCAGGCTGTT